GTGGATGTTTCGCAGTTAAGGCAAGCTGAATGGATAAATTGTCCAAGTTCAAATATATCTTGCAGGGGATCTTTATAATGCCTTTACATTAGTGTTGGGCAATGTGCTCCAAAGTCATATTTTCATAGACCTTGTTAGCCTGTGAGATAGACAGAACATGATTATTTTGCTGGTGGGTGGGTGTGCAGGGTGGAATAAAAATTATTTTATAACTAAAATTATATTTTTGTAATATTATTATTAAAGGAGCCATTTGCAAGATTGTGGCTAAAACTGGTACTGCAATCACTTTCAAATTACTGTAAAGCATTGTTTCAGTTAAAAGAACCTAGTAGTATAATGACAGTGTTAATGACAGCAGAAAAAGTTTTCTAATAAAAAGGCATTTTTTGACAATTTATTACCAATTTGAAATATATTATGCAACTTTGATAACTGAAATTTCAGTCCTAAATAGGTGCTTGTTAGCATATTACCTACACAGTAACCAAAATGGCCAAGGTAAATGGTATTGTCTTAAAGGGAGAGCTCACCTAAAAATTAGTTCAATTCAAAGTTAATTCATTCCAAATCTGAATGACTTCAGTGTTTCCCCTACATTGATTATTTAACATTGACCGCCACAAAAAGATTTCAGTGCTTCCCATCCATTAACTAGAGTGTAGCAGCCCGAAAATATATTTCAACTTCTCATAATAACATTAAAGCTCTTTAAAATGTCATGTTTTTGCGCCACTGCGGTCAAACAGAAAAATCGAAATGCGATACGCCTAAAGACTGTCTGTTTGCGCTGGGCAATGAGAAGTGCGGACTTCACTCCCGTGTTCAGCTCCGCATCTCAGTTCACAGTGAATGAATGCAGTGAACTGTGCTGAGTTTAGTGTACATTTGGGAACGCAACGCAGCTATATATTATTTTCACATTTGCATAGTTGCCCATAGCGTTTGTACACTTGTTATACGCCAAAATAAAAGCTCGCCTGCAGTTTCCGTCAAAATAAAATCTCACAGGTTTAGATAAGATTTAGGACAAAACTAATTCTGAAAGTTTTATTTATCTTTCAGTGTATTTGTTTTACAATATATGGCTGTTAAGTCATAGGAATAATATTAGAACGTTATTATTAGTAGTAGTAGTAGTAATAGACTGAGACAAGGTACAAGACACACTGAACATGGTTTAGAGTGCTAAATTTTAAACTCTCAAAGTGCACTGAGGTCCACCCACCACAGTTTCACAAAATCCTGAGGGAAAACCTGCACTTTCTTTCCTAATTTCATGGGGCGGACAACACAATACACCATATTACACCTGCTCGCTGTTTAATGCTACAGCAGCAGAACACAAACGGAACATCATCATCATCATCAAGTTCGTGTGTCAGATATCCATGGAACAGCCGTGGCAGGAGAGTTACAGCTATGTGGTGAGATTCAGCTGCACTTGTGAACATACAAGGAAAGTTGTGAGGTGCCTCTCACCTCACTGCAGCCTGGTGTTATCTCGTTCTGCAGCACCATGAGGACTTATCACCCCCATCTGCTCTTGGTATAGTGGAAAGGAGAGCACAGGGTTATCACTGTCTCTGATATGCACAGATAAGACCCTGCCTCCTGTTTAAACACCATAGCTAGCTCCACTATGTTCAACAGTCTTTCACCTCTCTGCCATTTACAAGAACCAAACATCTATTGCTTTCAAAAATGTCAATCTCTGCAAAAAAAAAAAAAGGGCGGCGGTCCAAGAACAACTATTTCGATGCTGTGCATGTTGATTATTTTCTTTTTGGCAGGTTGCTGAAATATTTCTGTAACAAGTTTCCATGCGTCAAAGGACCAAAACTATTTTCCTTGGCAAAATGGAAAATAAAAAAATCTACTAACATGCTTCGATTTAGCTACTGTATGGAACTCTGGGTGGTTTAAATACAAATAAACATGTTCATTTAGGCAACCCACAGACATCCATCTACTCCAGATATTACAATATTTCTCCAGTGGTCTAGTTAATAGGATAGTCTTGACACTCGCATGGTTTTAGAAGTGATGCACATATCATTCAGAACTTTATGACATAACCCAGGGCAATGGGGAATGAATGCAGAAAGCTAAATTTATACAGGAAACAAGCACTTACTGATGCATTCGCTCCCAAATGCGCGCGCACACACACACACACACAGAGAGAGAGCGAAAAACCCTGTGCCTAATCTGGAAACAATTACAGACGTTAGCTTGACCTGTTTGCCCTAAATGAACTCTCAAATAGAAATATTTTTCAAGTAGAGAGCTAGAGATGGCTGGAACCCTGGCACAAGATGTTGCAAAATAATCTGTAATTAGTCACAAGAGCTGCCGCCCCGTCTGCTGCAAGCCGTCAAGGGCTGTGATGTAAAAAACTTTAAAAAGAAAACCTCACCATGGCAAATCTGACACTCATTCCTTTTATTAAAAAAAGGAAGATCATTGCAACTTCAAAAGAAAGTAAAGTAGAAAAGTACATCTAAATGACATCTCTAGCATAAAATAAGAATGGGGAAGGATCTAATATCATTCGATTTTTTTTTATGATTTGACATTAGATTCTATTATCACTGTCATGCGTCATTTAGATTTTTTTTTTGAAGCAGTGAATGTTAATTTAAACTGAAACATGACCATCTTAAGAACATGTAATGTACCAAATCAAATAAAATAACAATATGGATCGCCATCTCAACACAGTGCAGCTTAAACTACTTCAATTACATGTCACTGGATGTTTTCGGCAAAATCCTTTTCAGTAAAATTCGGAACATCTGACATGCCAATGCGCTGACTTGAATGAGTCACACAAGCAAGCACAGAGAACTTGTAAATTAACACGGCTTGTCAATTATTCTCTTAAAAGATAAACACAAACCTTAAAGCTCATAAGGTTGAATGAACATTTTTCACTCAGTGAATAATGAAGGTAATTAAGAGGGATTTATTAATGCCATCTTGAGCACTTCCAAAGATGCATGAATATTTGGACTGAAACTGAATCCTCAGATGAACTTTCACCGTTGTGCATTCCAACAGATTAAGGAGGAACACTCAAACCATTTTTTTTTCTGTCATTAAGAAACCTTCAGTATCTACTGAAATCCTTTAAACAAACAGCACTAAAACTCACGCAGTTATCAAAATAACGTACTATGGTTTGTTCAGACTACGGCAGGACCTACATAATCAATATCTCTTTGAAGAGACAGAGACAGTCGCTACTTTATAATCTTATTGCACCTCACTGCAATTGACTCCGGGATGTGCATGACTGGCTCACTTTAACTTTATCTTTTATCACATCAAAATTCTCTCCGCTAGACAGCAACTGAACAGCCTCCTTCATGACAGAATAAACACATTCAGCTCCTCATTCGAGTCATAAGCCGTTTCTTAAGTGCAGTTATGACATCCATGGATTTTAATACTATAAGACAAATTGAATAAATGTAAATGTTTTGTCCTATTCTAAAACATTGTACAGATAAATTTGACGTATGAATCCTGCAAGCCTCGTCTAGTCGACAGCAACAAGGGTGCGGCTACAGCCTTCAAAAGCTGATAACGTCTGCCGTGGATTTCCTCACCTCATGTCAGCTCCTTGCAACACCCCCACAAGTCACACTGACATAAACCAGAGGCCAGTAAAGTGGCCAAAAGGTTACGCCGTGGAGGTCGGCCTAGGTCCTACACACAGTTCCTCATTTCCTGGGCTGGACAGTCTGCTCTACTCATAAAGCTAATAAGGCCCTCCTTGTCCCGGGTGGCTGGGGCCCAGGCTGCCCTACTCATCACTGGCCACACCATGGGGGTCAAGGGGTAGGTGGGGAGGCTGCTTCCCATTAGCCTGTCCCCTCTCCAGGTGCAGCTAATGGGCTCAGCCAGAGGCTCTCCAGGACCACGAAGGCAACCACCAACACAGGCCTGGAAGTGATCAGCACCCAACGCCTGGGAGCCGTGACAAACAGACAGCCCACTTAAAGGAATCAAGTTAAAAATAATTATTTTTCTTCACTACACTGGGAATGCCTTGTCTTGTGTGTGCAGTTATGGCAATATATCTGAAAATGACATCTTACAGTAAAGATGAAGAATATGAAGAGTTCAGATGCAAAAGCCTCTAAATGCCATTTGAAATTTTCTTCTTTAATGATGATTTTTATCAAACTTGTGTATTTAAGTTCAGTAATTTCACTTGAATAACAATTAATAGGTAATCTTCATTGCCATTTAAGTGAAATCACTGAACTTAAATACACAAGTTTGATAAAAATCATCATTAAAGAAGAAAATTTCAAATGGCATTTAGAGGCTTTTGCATCTGAACTCTTCATATAAACTTGCAAGCACATTTACTGAACTACTGAGCATGTGAAAAGTCTATAATTATCTCTATTTTTTTACCAATTTCTTATGCTCATAAATAAAATTACAGATTTTTTTTTTATTATTATAAATTGGCAATTAATTAATACTGTATTTTTTGTTTATAGAATACATTCGTTTTCAAGATGAATTAACTGTACGAGTGATTTTTAACCGTTTCAAATAGTTATATTGCAACTTGATTGAAACCATTTCCCCCCCTCACTCCTTTCAAATGTTATTTTAGCTGAAGAGCAATTTTTCTTGATAAGGGCAAAGCAAGAGGAAAACATACGTGCGTAAATCAGCTCTGCAATCACTCTCTCTCATATCCACCGCAGGCAGAGTGTTAAGCAAATTGACCTCCAGCATGAAAGATGATAAGCAATCAACAGTTAACCATCATGACTCATCTTCCACTAACATTTCTCTGCAACCAAGTTCTTTAATCAAAAGCATTTCTAAAAATGGGCACCTTGTGGTCCTTTGTTTCACAGAGCGCAGTAGCCTAATTGAATTAGGGACCCTGCCTTTGCCAGTGGAGACAAAAACAACAACATGCTTTTATGCACACCAACTCGATGAACAAAATGAAAACGGTGGCTTACCTGTGCTGCTCCACCGCCTCATTGTCAGGCAGCTCGGCACCACACACGTTGCAGCGCTCGTTCGGGACGCGGCCGTCAGGCTTCATCCCGGCAGCTAACTCGCCGAGCTTGCTGAAGAACTCCCTCTGGATGAAGCTCTGAGGCAACAAGCCCCCGTAGGCACTGAAGTCCATGGACATGGCCAGGGCTGGGGACATGTGCAAGGATGAGGCCATGGAGGCGGGCATAGAGAGCATCGCTTCGTTCTTGTGGTTAGGGGGAATGCCGTAGAGTGACGCCAAGTGTTTTTCGGTCATCCCCGCCATGGCCTCCAAGCCCATTTGGCTGACCTCAGCCTGCTGGTCACCCATACCTTCCTCCCTGACATAGTGCAGCTCACGGGCACTGGTGATCACGCTGCTCCTGGTGGGGGTGCCGGGCCCGTCGCGGTTCTTGTCGGACTCTCCGCTGCGTTCGCCGTTGCTGGAGGCGCTGGATTCCATGGCTTTAGAGCTCTCATGCTCTCTGCTGTCATCTACTTGCATCATCTCCGTCTTGATCTCTCCCAACATGGGGTGGGAATTGCCATGCAGGGGATGCTCTGCACCCACTCCGGGGTGCATGGTGCTCTGCAGGAGGGACTGGCCGATGCTCATTAGGCTGTCCACGGCTGCTTTGGTTGGGCTCATGGTGGAGAGGCCGAAAGAGGTGGAGACCGAGGGACTCTGATCCACCATTCCTGGCAGCCCCAGTGCTTGCTGGGCAGCCGACCCGTAGCCGCCTTCCTCCACGGAATGCTTTTTCGAACCCCCCAGGTTCCTGGCGTGCCGTCCCTTGCGTTCCTCGTCGTCTTCTGTGCCGCCATCGTTCATGTTGACCTCCGTGTCATTTTCATCTGACGACTGGATGGTCTCCAGTATCTTCAGGCATTGCTCCTCCAAGTACTCTATTTCTAAGATCTCTGCTGCGTACAGCAGGTCATCCAGATCCTCCACTTTAGCTTGGAGCGTGGCAGTATAGGCGTACTCCAGAATCTGCTGGAAGGTCTTTGGTGAGAGAAAGTCCAGAGTGTAATGTTGGCTGTTGCGGTGAAATAGGATCTCGAACATCTTACTGGTGCAGGCCAGCACAGTCCGGTGAGCGTGGAACTCCTGGCCGTCCACCATGATGACCACGTCACACAGTGTGCCGGCCAGGCGCATTTGATTAGCCTTGTGCAGCAGGGCATTGGGGTGATTGGGGTTCTGGAGCTGGATCATACCCATTTTAGTCAAATCCATAACGTCTCTGAAATCCACACTGCCAACTCATGAGTCTTTCTTTCCACGTAGCAGTCTGTTCAGTTATCTTTGTAAACAAGATAAGGTCAATCTAGAAAGAGATGAAAGAGGCCCACAGTTACATACAACAAAGTCTCTATGTTTATTCTTTGTTTCTAAATTAACAACCATCATTCTTAATTTTTTCCATTTAAAAAAAAAACAAAAAACATGCCATAAATTATATTTACGGTCCACTCTGTAGTGTATTGTTAAAATAAAGCATTTAATAGCCAAAAATATTCCCAAGGGAACCTTGAGGCCGGATTCCCAAAATCCGACCCCAAGTCGGTCAAATCGCACAAAATAAACCAAAAACGACAAGTGGCCCACATGAGAAACGGGGAAACTTGGCTTTAGCTCTAGTAAAGGCTGACAGTAATCAAGCCTTTGTTTCTATGTGTTCAAGCTCGCCTCACAAAGCCCATCAACAGCCTCCTGAAATGAAATGGCATCTTATTCAGTATTCTCATCACAGGCAGGGATACTGAGCGGAGCATGGAGAGTGAGGCAAGCTGTTGCCAGGAATAGTTGGAAGTGGAACAGAGGATGACACAAAACAGCTCAGAGCTCCTAAAACACATCAAAATGCCATTTTTATTTTAAATACACATCCATCTACCATATGTAAATTATATAGATGCCATTTTTTTCTGATAGCTATAATGTTTTAAAGATAAAGCATCAAGACACATAAAATATAATGTTTAAAAACAAAACCTGTCATTTGTCAAAAAGCTCATGGTTGGCCATTTGTCATTACATCACTTTTTACATTTAGGCTACTTCATTTTCACAATTTATTATGCTACTTAATAAAAAGACACCCTAGCTATGATTTGAGTTTAAAATGAACCTTGTTCAGCAACCTAACACTATAACAAAAACATTCCCGTGGCATTTGAGTAATATTACTTTTTAATATCACTTTTGAATAATCTGAGGAAGATCCACCTGTAACATTTGGCAAGCGAGGAGAGGAAGTCGTCCCTTTAATAACAATATCACATTAAAATAGAAGATACGAAACGGGGGGTTTACTCAGATGTAATATTTCCCACTTTTTTAATCAACAAAAGCCTCACCAGTGAAGAGTAGGCTAATGGTCCTTGTTAAACACTATAATCTTTAACACTATAATATACCGTCATTCATAGCGGTGAATGACGGGCTTTTTCATTGTAAATACCGTCTCCGACAGCAAATATGGGAAAGTTATGATAAAGGACGACAGGAGAGAAATATATTCCAGAGGTTTCACGCTGTTTAAATTACCTGAGAATACAGGAAGACGAGTAATAAATGAGAAATTAATGTTAAAGCGCATGAGACGCTAGCACTAATGACGCCAGTGATTCACGCACGCGAACTGTACAACTAAAACAACAGACAAGAAACGAATACTCCTTTAATCATTTTATTCAACTACTGCTGTGATTGCAGCCATCTACCTCATATACGATAAAAAAATCAATGAAAAGTCTAGGCAGAGCTCATTTGACTGATCAATTAATGATTATTCGACTGTTCACACGTGAATCAATGTAACGTTAAGTTAAATAAGGACCCGCCTGTTATTTCATAGGTCACATCGTGAGGCCAAGCAAAATAGCGTTTGGGTTTAACTGATCTATTTCAATATTGGAATAAAACAGTCATGGGAAAAAGTCATTTTACTTGAATTGTAGGCTATAGTACAATTCAGTTCATTTTGAAAGACAGTGACACGCTCCTCCACGGTGTCGCTGATTTAATGATTACCTACTGACAACCAAAATAATCATCAAAAACCCACAACTGTTTGATCAACGCCAAACTTCACTTATGGCATATTTCAACTGTCTGAACGTTCAATTTGAAGCGGTCACGCTGAGAATAAAGCACATGGAAGCACGTCACTGTCTGGTGCGCGAGCCGACCTCACGTCCCCCGAATACTAAAACACACGCTTACGTCAACATAACATCTCCACATGTGTAAAGATGAACATAAACAGACATATCCAACAGCTGCCCGGAGCCTGCACAACGCTGACAGCCACACTTTTACTTTTTCGGTGCACTCTCACAATTCACCTTCACTTGAAGCAACAGTAGAAACACTGTAACTTGATGTGATGCTGCGCGCAAACACATCTGATCAACACAACGCGGATTCTCTCTTAATGTGAACATTTCCCTAAAGTGAAAACACACAGACAGAGGGGTATGTCAGGAGCTCTGGGTGTTTTAAAGGTGCGCGCCTGTACTCACCTCACCTGTGTTGCACGTTTGGCTTCCGAGCGTGCGGTTATTAGGACTGTAGCATAGTAACGCAGTTCACAGTACCCGCTCTATCTCTCTCGCGCGCGCACTAAACTCCTCTCTGCTCGCCGCTTAGCAAATCAACACTGCGGTGACGTCAGCGCACATCCTCGCCGGAGTCCTGACAAACACTGCTAAAGTGAGACACCTAGGGGGCTGTCGAATATAGGCCAGCGTGTCTGGGACACTATCTATCACAGCGTTTGGACTTTAATCATTAACCTTCAAGCATCATCACCTTTGCTACTACTTCTTCTACACCCGACTAACTTCTCAATGAGCTCTGCGCCGACTGAAATATTAAAGTTCTGTGCGATATGTACATTCATATTTAGACCTTTGCGAACCAATAAGTGCAATGTCCACTTACACATTCGTGTGAGCAACGTTCTGTATAATTATTTTAGTAAACGTAGGCTACATGTGTTTTTTTTCTTTTTGTTGTACTTTAATTTACACTTCGTGGAGCCCTGCCAATAAATAACGCTTATTCATAAGATTTTAGGGTAGCCTACAGAAGAAGCTCCCATGCCAAATTTCTTCTTGTGTGCTTGAGCCAATAAAACGTACACTTGATTCTAATTATGCTCAGAATAAATAAACAGGCTTAGACCTATAAATAAAAACTACTACTACTAATAATAAGGTAATTCTTTTCAATAAGGTCTTAAATTAGAAGCATTAGTTAATGCATTCATTCATAATTCATTAACTGACATGAACGGACAATGAGCAACACATTTGTAATACAAGAAACTTATTGTTGGTGTAACTTTAAAAAGTGAGTGGCTGCCTTAAACACATTTGTACATTGAAAAAAAATTGTTAATACAATGGAGATTGGTTTATTTTGAAACTTAAAATATTATGTTATCTTTTTCTAAAAGAAAAAATGATGTGATAACAAATCATGAAAATATTTTTTAAGTGCAGATTTAACTTTGTTTTAATGTTGGTTAAAAATCCAGATGTTCATTGTTTGTTCATGTGCATAACCAATACAACGTTTAATTTGGGTAAATGTCAAAATTAACATTTACTATAATAAATGCTGTAGGAATAATTCTTAGTTCATGTTAAAGTAGTAAACTAATAATGAAACCTTATTGTAAAGTGTCACCAATAAGGACATAAAAAACACAACATGAGCTATTAAGTTCCTTTTTGTGAAATTACTTAAAGACAAGCTCTCTTTTATTTAAAAGTCTTTTATCCTCTTTGAGAAAAGAAATGATTCATTAGAGAAATTATTCGAACTAATTACTGAATGACAGATAGCCTACATGGGATTCAAAATGTTTTCAAAAAGATTTAATAGACAATATCACTTATTTGATGGTGAATTGTACATATTCAGTCAATTAGAATCGTACATGTCTTTTTAAAATGTTTAATTAGATGTTTTTATTAGTCAAACAACTATGTAACAGACAACTGTCAGTTACGCATGCTGCGTTCCAATTCGCCTACTTATACTACGCCCTAAAAGTATACAGGCCTACTCTTTTTGCGAAGAAAACATTCATTCTTTTGTTTTGAGTGTATAGCAAAGGAGGCAAGCTTTATGACACACTAATTCGTCACCTTTAACGGACAGCTCTGTCGCGTGCATCTTATCACCGTAAACTGCCCTGTCAATCATCGTGTCACAGTTTAAATCCTCTATTCAATCTACGTTCATTTCTTACGTTTTCGGAGAGAAATGCTGTAGCACTTGATCTGCCAGTCATGGGTCTTTCAATACAGAAACTTTCCTCGTGTTTGGAATTTGAATATAATAATGCATTTAAAAGTTAATGGCTAAATACGTCTTTGCAAATCACAATGCTGCTGCAGATGCACTATAATAATGTAGACAACATTGAATGTATACATTTTCGTTTTCGTCTCCTTTATCTAAACCAAACCGTCGGACTCGCGCATCCGCCATGTCTGTAGTTTTTGAGCACTTTTTTTGCACTCGTGTTTGCAGTTCTAACCGAATCCTCTTCCAACGCGTGATGGGTTGTGGGCAATATCAGCCGTTAGAGTGTGCATTGATCTGCACTTCAGATTCTGACCGGATATAGTATACTCTTAGGAACACTCATTTTTACATACTACGATTTGGAACGTACTAATTCTATTTTCGAATGCTATTTAGGACTTTTCACTATCTGCTGAATCAATGTTTGTGCCAAATTTGTGGTCCTGTTTGGGATTGTTCTAGCTACATTTGAGTATATATGTTTGATGGTCATACTTCATTGGATTTCATTTACCATCAAACCTCCACATAATTAAAGACTCCTTAAAGACAGTTAACACTTGCATCTGACTTTCACCTTAAATTTCTACAACGGTGAACGTTACAAAGACTGAACGCACATTGTTGGAACTCATATACAACTCATATATTCTATTTTGGTGTTTACATGAAGTCATATAAGGTGCTTACATTGCTGTTTTTATTTACTCATTGGATTGAAAACATATGTTGATGATGATGACATCCCAACCCACCACCACCACTACCCCATTTAGCATGCATTTACTCTGAGTAGCACATGTTGTTTATAAAATTTCTTGGTAGAATATAATGATATATGCTGAATTTGATTAAAAATAGACTAAATTATAGTATTGGGCAAAATAAACTGTGCAGACCTATCAGTAAAAAATGGCAAACTGAATGCTCTCATTCAATTCCAACTGCTATCAGCTATTTGTCACTCATATTTTCAGTGCAATTTATCCCGGTAGCCTGAAAATGGAGGGAAACAAGATTCTGCGTGAGAGATGGGAGATCATAGAGTGCCATCACCTTTGAGCTACATGCTGTGCTGGCTTACTTGGGGATAAATACAAAGACACTGCCCTAATCTCCATCTAATCCACATTTTACTGGATAAGACTGAAATGATACAATGACATTTTCATAATCAAAAGTGGACAGCACAAGCCAACACAGGTCTGAAAATAGTGAAATCTGTAAAGTAAGTCCAAGAATGTATATATTGCATATATGTAGCACACATTAAAACCATTCATATTTAGAAATCAAACTCTAAAACTTAACCCCTTGGTCAAGTCACACATTGTAAACATATATAAGATGATGTTCTTTACTGAAAGAAGTGTATTTAAGGGCAATTTATTGGCCTTGGCTCTGCAGGAGTGCCTTTCAGCACACAGTTGCTGACACGTATACTGTAATTGAATATATGTAACATCACATGATGCATAACACCATTGAAATGGTTCTGAATGCACTAAGAGTAGATGTTTGCTGCCTATTTGTCCACATAGTTCATATTCGCATATACTGTATAAATCATTAGTGAAGTACTGGGGTGTGGTACTGACATGCCCTAAAGGTTTTGCTCATGCGAGAGATGAGCTAACAGTGGATCTTTGTGAATCTCACCAAAGGCTTTGACTGAATAGGCTCTTTTTACATTTGTTTAATCCTGGGGGTGTCTTATGCTTTGGGGGCCTGCCCCCATGACCTCTGACCCCTTACCTCTGACCTTGGGTGGATTTTCTCCTGTACAAAATGCCCTTCTCTGTGCATGCTAAAAATTCCTTCTGAGACCTTTTATCCCGTATATCATGCATAAAGGCTAACATACCTGAGTCAACCGCATGTTTAGAGTTAGGCTTACATTTAAAGGGATACTCCACTTTTTTGGGGGGAATAGGCTCATTTTAGCACCCCTTCAGAGTTAAACAGTTGAGTTTTACCAGTTTCGAATCCAATTTTTTTATATTTAGAGGACTATCAGCAACCAGACAGTTTCTGGTCCCATTGACTTCCATAGTAGTCAATGAGACCAGAACCTGCATGTCTGGTTACTGATATTCATCTAAATATCAGAAAATTGGCTGAATACATTTGAAAATGGTAAAAACACCACTTAATCACACTTTTTACTGCATTAAGTGTTTTTTTTTTCATTAAGAAGAATGGCTGGCATTCTCTTTGTTAATGGATTGGAGAAGTCACGTTGACAGAGCCGTTTACTCTACTGAGTGCATATTTGCCACCACTCTCCCTCCAGCCTCATACCTGTTTGGTTAGATGACAAGGTGATCCATTGATCAATACTGATGTGGTATCAGCAGGCTGAACAATAGAACTTTGCTGGTAAACCTTTGCTGGTTTCAAGTGACAAGAATCTCATTTTCAGAGGTCACAGATCTCACAGTCTCTGACTGCTCTATGTGGACAGACACATTCCAGCCACTGGTTACTAACAGGTTTTTACTGTCACATTTCAGTCTTTTACAGTTAAAATTACACTCTTAGAAAAGAGGGTTCATTGGGGTTCTACAGTATGAAGCATACTCCAAAGAACCTTTTATGCTAAAAAAGGTTCTATATTGACAAGAAAGAACCTGTTTGGCACAAAGGTTCTTTACAGGCTATTATTCATTCATATATTACATTATTCTGCAACATTTTGTAGTTGTAATTAAATTATTGTTTATTAAACTGTTGTATAGTAATTTAATATCACATTTTAATCATGCTAAGTTTTGGGGGAGAAAAACTGAAATGGTACACTGTAAAAAATATTTTCATGATTTGTAATCACAACATTATTTCTTTTGTCAAATCAACTAAAATAATTTATGTAGTTCAGATAACACAATATTTTAAGTTTCTGATGATTAAATCAAAACTCAATTTTTCCATTTCAATGAACTTAAATTTTTGAGGCAGCCAGGTTACTTCATTTTTTAAGTTAAACCAACAATATCGTGTGATATTGGTTACTTAAAATGATATAAATATATACATTTTCTAACCGCCATATCTTGAATTTTGTGATCATTCACATGCATTCATAAATACATTTTAGGGTCTTGATGTTTGTCAATAATATGAAATATTTAATCCAGAAAGGACAAAACAAATGATAATGAATGAACTCAAAAGATTCAATTTTTCCTGGTTACAAAGAACCCTAAAGGGTTCTTATTATTGAACCCTTAAATAGGGTTCTGTATAGAACCTTTTAGGGGTTCTAAATACGTAGCGCTGATAGAAGGTTCTAAATAGAACCT